GGGCAGGTGCCGCCGCCCTCGCCCTGGGCAAGCAGATCCTGGTGGTGGGCGGCGTGGACGCGGCGCAGAGCCCCCTCGCCTCCGTCGAGGTCTACCACGTGGATGAGGGCAAGTGGGAGAAGAAGGCGGCACTGGCTCAGCCCTCCATGGGCATCTCAGCTGTGCAGAGAGGTGAGGGCTGGGGTTGGGTTTGGTTGCGGATATCTCCACTGCACGGAGCAGCGGAGTCTGGGAGGCTCCAGTGGGATTTGAATCCCGCTGCTGCTTGGGAAGCAGCACGAGGCTTTCACCCAGCAGCTGAACTTGCCATCTAATGGCAGGATCACACTTCTGCCCCAGCAGCCCTGTGGTGGGCCTGGGTCTGGTGATGTGGAGCCCCTCTGGGCACAGGAGCCTTCCCCAGCTGCTCCAGCTGGGACCCACGCCGAGGCAGCTGAGCACCCTGCTCCAGCTCAGCTTGGTGTGCTGTGTGTCAAACACTGCTTCCTGCCCAAACTTTGCTGAGCATCCTCTGAGCCGTGGCACAGCCCAGCAGCCCACACACCAGGAGCTGGGGTTGGTCCCTGTATGCGGTGCCCATGTCTGTTCCCTGGCTGGGGATGCCGTGGTACAGCCCCTGGCTGCAGCAGGGTGGGCAGGGCAGAGGGGATGGCAGGGCAGTGGTGGGAGTGAGCAGGGGTGCTGACCACACTGGGAGCTGGAGCAGGAACAGGATTTGGCAGCATGGCTGGGTTGCCATGGTGTCTCCAGGGAGATGGTACTGCCAAGAATAATTACAGCCAATGGCCCATCCTCAGCTCTCCACCTGAAGTATGGGGCGGAGAAAGGGGCGAGAGGGTCCCACGGGGGTTAGGGCAGTACTGGGCTCACGCCTGGCCACCCTGCCTGTCCCCTGGTCACCCTGGAGCTGTGACAGGCCATAGGGCTCAGCTGCACCTGTGCTGCCTGCCCTGGATGTCACAAGGGGACTCCCAGCCCTGCAGCACTGCCCACAGCTCCCCCAGCCTCACTGCTGCCTCTTTTGCAGATGGGGCTGTCTATGCGCTAGGGGGAATGGGTGCAGACACCTCTCCCCAGGCGCTGGTGCGCGTCTACGAGCCAGCAAAGGACCACTGGCAACCCTTGCCCTCCATGCCCACCCCCTGTTATGGGGCTTCCGCCTTCCTGCAGGGCAACAAGATCTTCGTCCTGGGTAGGTGCTGCTGGGTCAGGTCAAACATCCCCCCACACCCCTTCCCTCTTCCTCCACTGCCTCCCTGGACCAGGGGGTGATCCAGTGCACCCCAAGATGCTGATGGGCCTCATCCTGCTTGCTGAGCCCACCAATGGTCCTAGCTCGAGGTCCCGATAGCCACAGCATCTCACCCATGTGCAGGGGGTCGGCAGGGCAAGCTGCCTGTCACTGCCTTCGAGGCCTTCGACCTGGAGACGAGGAGCTGGACGCGTTACCCCAGCGTGC